ATAAACCACAAAACAAAAACACACCAACAAAGACAACTTGGAAGGCAATATTTATTCTGATTTTGCTTTTGCTTTAATACATAATATGTATACATGTTCCAGGCAATACATTTGGGAACACAAAATAAAAATAAGGTTACTTAGGACCCCAGGAGCTAGCTAACCTGTGCTGACAATTTCTGTCTTCTCTTTGGGTTTCAGGACATCTGTGATGTTGGGGCTTTCTGCACCCTCTGGCTGGGGAAGAGACCTCATCTGTCACCTCACATCTTCAGTCTCTCCCCACTCTAGGATTTAGAGGGTGTAGTCAAGGCAGAAGACCTGGGAGAGGTTAAACCAGAGGGGTGACTGGTGCAGAGGACTGGGCAAGGACCATGAATTTGTCCTTCAGTTGCTGTGGGAAAGGACTTTGTGAACAATGAGTTGACCAGAGAGTAGGGCTTCATCCTACTGCCCAGAAAAGCCACTGTGACTCAGCAGAAAGGTCCCCAGGGACAGAGCAATAGTTCCCCAATTTCCTTCATACTTTTTATCTTTTTCCTTTTTTTTTCTGAGACACGGTCTTGCTCTGTCACCCAGGCTGGAGTATAGTGGCACAATCATGGCTCACTGCAGCCTCAACTTCCAAGGCTCAAGCAATCCTCCTGCCTCAGCCTCCCAAGTAGCTAGGAGTAGAGGTATGTGCCACTATATCCGGCTAATTTTTTAAAATTATTTGGGCCAGGCACGGTGGCTCACGCCTGTAATCCTAGCACTTTGGGAGGCCAAGGCCGGCAGATCACGAGGTCAGGAGTTCAGGACCAGTCTAGCCAACATAGTAAAACCCTGTATCTACTAAAAATGCAAAAAAAAAATTAGCCAGGTGTCGGGAGGTGGGGCTTGCAGTGAACCGAGATCGCGCCACTGCACTCCAGCCTGGGCGACAGAGTCAGACTCTGTCACAAAAAAAAAAAAAAAATTAGCCGGGTGTGGTAGCGTGCGCCTGTAATCCCAGCTACTCGGGACGCTGAGGCAGGAGAAACACTTGAACCTGGGAGGCAGAATTTGCAGTGAGCTGAGATCGTGCCATCACACTCCAGCCGGGCAACAGTGCAAGACTCCGTCTCAAAAAAAAAAAAAAAAAGAAATTAGCTGTGGAGTCAGGGGTCTCCCTGTGCCTCCCAGGCTGGTCTTGAACTCCTAGGCTCAAGTGATCTGCCCACCTGGGCCTCCTGAAGTGTTGGGATTACAGGCATGAGCCACCAGGCCTGGCCTTCGTACCTTTTAAAATGTATTAATTCACTCACTCATTAAACATTAACTGCTCTCCACCCTGGGCAGGCTCTGGGGCCTCTCAGGTGGGGAAGTTGCCAACTGGGCCCTCCAGCAGCCTGCTTCTGACCTGGGGAAAGTAAAATACAATAAATGTGCCCAAGGAATGCAGGGGAAGGGAGGAGGAAAAGGGGAGAGAAGGAAGGGCGTGTAGCAGTATCCTACGCATGTGTGGGCCATTTGTAAAAGAATATTACGTACTACAACAGCATTTTTCTTTGGAAAATGCAAAACAAAACTCTAACTTTGTTCTTAATGCAGACTATGGAAAGTCAATTGTGAGGAAATCTTGATCCTTGGGGGTTATCATGGGTCTCTTCAGTTAAGCCTGTGGGGAAGGCAGGGAGTAGGACAGGCCTTGCCATTCTCCAGAGGCCTCTCAGTAGAATGTGACCTGTTTCTATTTACCAGAATGGCAAGGGCAGGGGTGCAGGAATAGGAAGAGGACATACCTGATTGGAGGATTGGAGAGCCAAGAATCTGGGCCCTGAGAGTCAAAGGGAGAGGTTGACAAATTCAGGGACACATAGCTGTGTGTAGTGGCTCTCTCCTATAATCCCAGCATTCTGTGAGGCCAAGGCAGGAGGATCACTTAAGCCTTGGAGTTCAAGACCAGCCTGGGCAACAAAGTGAGATCCAGTCTCTACAAAAAAATTAAAAAATTGTCTGGGCACTGTGGCGTGTGCCTGTGGTCCCAGCTACACGGGAGACTGAGGCGGGAGGATCAAAGGTGGGAGTTCAAGGTTGCAGTGAACTATGATCCAGCCTCTGTCACACAGGCTTGAGAGCATGGCCATCATGTTGGCCAGGCTGGTCTCAAACTCCTGGCCTCAACTGGTCTGCCTACCTCGGCTCCCAAAGGCTTTGTAGGCCATATGGTCAGGGTGGTACCTACTCAACTCAGCTGGGAGGCACAAAAGGAGCCACAGGCACTGCTTAATCAACTGGATCTGACTGTGTTCCAACAAAACTTTATTTATGGACACTGAAATTTGAATTTCATATCATCTGTAGACAGATGTCAAGAAATAGTACTCTTAAAGTTTTTTCCCCACCTTTAAGAATGTCACAATCATTCTTGGCTTGCAGGGGTCCTACAAAACAGGGAGTCAGGTGGTAATGATGTGTCAGTGTAGATTCATCAGTTGTCACAAATGTACCCAAATGTACCACTCTGATGGGGGATATATTGGAAAACGGAGGAGGCTATTTATGTGTAAGGGTAGGAAGTATACAGGAAATATGGTATCTTCTGCTCAACTTTGCCACAAACCTAAAACTGATCTTCAAAAATAAAGCCTGTCTGCCAGGTGCGGTAGTTCATGCCTGTAATCCCAGCACTTTGGGAGGCCAAGATTGGGGGGATCACCTAAGGTAAGGAGTTTGAGACCAGTCTGGCCAACATGCTGAAACCCATCTCTATTTAAAAAATACAAAATTAGCCAGACATGGTGGCACACGCCTGTAATCCCAGCTACTCAGGAGGCTGCAGCAAGAGAATTGCTTGAATCCGGGAGGCAGAGTTTGCAGTGAGTGGAGATTGCACCATTGCACTCCAGCCTGGGCAACAACAGCAAAACTCCATCTCAAAAAATAAATAGACCAGGCATGGTGGCTCATGCCTGTAATCCCAGCATTTTGAGAGGCCGAGGCGGATGGATCACTTGAGGTCAGGAGTTCAAGACCAGCCTGGCCAACATGGTGAAACTCCGTCTCTACTAAAAATACAAAAATTAGCCGGGCGTGGTGGCAGGTGCCTGTAAACCAAGCTACTCTGGGGGCCAAGGCAGGAGAATTGCTTGAACTCAGGAGGTGGAGATTGCAGTGAGCCGAGATCATGCCACTGCACTCCAGCCTGGACGACAGAGTGAGACTTCGTCTCAAAAAAATTAAATAAATAAATAAATCCTATTAAAAAAAGAAGAAGAGAGAAAGGAAAGAAAACAGGAGCAAGTTGAGAATTTAGCCTATGGCCTGTACTTGCTGATCCCTGTTTTAGAGAATTACAAAAAGTTGCTCCATCCTCCAGTAAGACGCTATATAAGTCAGCTTATTATTTCTTGGGAATAACAATTATAGGACTGGGCATACCTACCTGGGCATAGAACTGGCTCACATCTATAATCCTAACACTTTGGAAGGGTGAGGCAGGAGGATCACTTGAGGACAGGAGTTCCAGACCAGCCTCAGCAACATAGTAAGATTCTATCTACCAAAAAAAAAATTTAAAGAATAACAATTATGACAAGCATTAAATCATTCTGTATAAATTATACAAATCAAATACTGAATATAAGATAATTGAAAATTATCATTGTTGCAAATATATTGTAATTATTCAACAGTTCTCATATTATATTCTAGAAAATAACAAGACATTTGGCATCCTGGGCAATCAAGATTTTGAGACCAGCCTGGCCAATATGGCAAGACCACATATCTACAAAATTTTTTTTTTTTTTTTGAGATGGAGTCTCACTCTGTCGCCCAGGCTAGAGTGCAATGGCACCATCTCGGCTCACTATAACCTCCGACTCCCGGGTTCAAGCGATTTTCTTGCCTCAGCCTCCTGAGTAGCTGGGACTACATGCGTGTGCCACCGCGCCCAGCTAATTTTTTGTATTTTTAGTAGAGATGGGGTTTCACCGTGTTAGCCAGGATGGTCTCTATCTCCTGATCTCATGATCTGCCCACTTCGGCCTCCCAAAGTGCTGTGATTATAGGCATGAGCCACCACGCCCGGCCCCAAAAAAATTTTTTTAAATCAGCCTGCGTGGTGGCACATGCTTGTAGTCCTAGGTACTGGGGAGGCAGAAGCAGGAAGGTTGCCTGAGTCCAGGAGTTCCAGGCTTCAGTGAGCTGTGATCAGACCACTGCACACCAGCCTGGGCAATTAAGCAAAACTCCATCTCATATTAAAAAAAAAAAAGGGCCGGGTACAGTGGCGCATGCCTGTAATTCCAGCACTTTGAGAGACTGGGGCAGGAGGATTGTTTGAGCCCAGGAGTTCGAGACCAGCCTGGGCAACACAGGGAGAACCTGTCACTACACAAAGTATCATGATTAGCTAGATGTGGTGGCACATGCCTGTGGACCCAGCTACTGGGGAGGCTGAGGTGGGAGGATCACTTGAGCCTGGGAGGGCAAGCATCGGTGTGCCATGATCGCACCACAGCCCTCCAGCCTAGATGAGAGAATGAGACTCTGCCTCTAAATACATACATACATACAGACAGACAGACAGACAGACTAAAAAGAAAAAGATTCTTATCTGAGATAGATAATTTTAACTACAGTTGCTGTTTAATATGCAAAATTGTGTGGTCAAGTAGATGAATAGCCAAGAAATTTGGTTTAATGGATTCTTTATCAATGTTTTTTCCCAGTTTTTCTCAAAATCCATCAGTTACAGAGTGTGGAAGTTGAAGGTAAATCCACATCCTGCTCCATCTGCAATGTATTAATGCCATGTTTTGCTAAAACTAGTATCTAAAGTATTTCCTTTTCTTCTGGCAGTACTTTCTCCTGAAATCTGGTGATGTAGATGAGTCATTTAGTATGGCTGGTGGAAACAAATACTGAAGACAGTGCCTAGATTATAGTAAGCAACTGTATGCATATATTTTAAATGAATAAAATTCCTTTTTCAAAGAAATTTGCGGCACAGACCTCATGCGTCCAGGCAGGAGATGGCTGTGACCCAGGCCTCTGCTCCCCAATGGGTGTGGCAGCCCAGAGCCATGGCTCTCGTGAGTTGTTTATGTGGCGCTTGAGGCTACAAGTCCAAGTATCTTCAGCTCAAGAAGCAGTTAGAAGATGAGATCTCCCTCTCCCCCGACCACATGGTGGCTCACACCTGTAATCCTAGCACTTTGGAAGGCCAAGGCGGGCAGATCACGAGGTCAGGAGTTCGAGACGATTCCGGCCAACTTAGTGAAACCCCGTCTCTACTAAAAATACAAAAAAAATCAGCCGGGCATGGTGGCGGGCGCCTGTAGTCCCAGCTACTTGGGAGCCTGAGGCAGGAGAATCGCTTGAACCTGGGAGGCGGAGCTTGCAGTGAGCCAAGATTGCACCACTGCACTCCAGCCTGGGCAACAGAACCAGACTCTGTCTCAAAGGAAGAAAAAAAAAGAAAAAAAGAAAGAAGAAGATGAGGTCCTCTGGGCTTTGGATATCTGCAGCAAGAGAACTCCCCAGGCCACTGGGTTCTTTGAAGTAATGGTAGCCGGGAAGTTGATTCACTCTAAGAAGGAAGATGATGGCTACGTGGACACAGAAAACACGTGTCTGAAGCTGGTGGCCGCCATCAAAGCCGCCTTGACTCAGGGCTAATGTGCCCTGAAGGCAGAGTCCAAGGACCTTGACCTGGCTCCTCTCAGCAGACGCTTCATGACAGGAAGGACTGAAATGTCTTGAGGATGCCTGGTCTCCCCCTGTTCTTGCAGCTGCTGTTGGGGGCAGAGGTTGATGCCCCTGGTCTTTGCCTCTGTGTGGGAGAGTCTGTTAGTATGTGTCTTCCCCAGAATCCATACCGCCCTACCCTTGTTCCCTGATTTCATCAGATCTCTGTGCATACCCCATGTTTCCCCGGTTGTCTACCAGAGTTTGTGGTATGTCCCACCTCAGGCTTCCTTCTCAAAGGGAAGCCAAAAGAGGCGTCAGGATAGGTGAGTCTCTGATTGCGGCAATGTTTGCAACTGCTCACGATTCAATAAATATTGGACGAATTTAACTGAAAAAAAAAAAAAGAAGAAATTTGCCCTGCTGTCTGGAGAAAAATAAGTTTATTTTATGTATTTATGTATTTATTTATTTTTGAGACAGGGTTCACCCTGTCACCCAGGCAGGAATGTAGTGGCACCATCTAGGCTCACTGCAACCTCTGCCTCCCAGGCTCAAGTGATCCATTCCTACCTCAGCCTCTTGAGTACCTGGGACCACAGATGAATGCCCCTACACCCCGCTAATTTTCTTCTCCTTTTTCTTTTTCTTTTCTTTTTTGTTTTAGTAGAAATGGGGTTTCGCCATGTTGCCCAGGCTGGTCTCAAACCCCTGAACTCAAGCAATCCGTCCACCTCAGCCTCCCAAGCTGCTGGGATTACAGGTGTGAGCCATCATTCCTGGCCCTCTTTTTTAAATAGTAGAGATGGAGTCTTGCTATGTTGCTCAAGCTGGTCTTAAACTCCTGGCCTCCAGCAATCCTCCTACCTGAGCCTCTCAAAGTGCTAGGATTACAGGTGTGAGCCACTATGCCTGGCCAAAAAAATTTTTTTTTTTTTTTTTGAGACGGAGTCTCGCTCAGTCGCCCAGGCTGGAGTGCAGTGGCTCAATCTCCGCTTACTGCAAGCTCCGCCTCCCGTGTTCACATCATTCTCCTGCCTCAGCCTCCCGAGTAGCTGGGACTACAGACGCCCGCTGCCACGCCCGGCTAATTTTTTTGCATTTTTAGTAGAGACGGGGTTTCACCGTGTTAGCCAGGATGGTCTCGATCTCCTGACCTCGTGATCCGCCCGCCTCGGCCTCCCAAAGTGCTGGGATTACAGGCGTGAGCCACCACGCCTGGCCTCAAAATTTTTTTAATAGGCTTTTTTTTTTTTCCCCTGGATCTCATGATTTAAATTTTTTTTTGACTGCGCACTATGGCTCATGCCTGTAATCCCAGCACTTTGGAAGGCCAAAGGAGGGAGGATCGCTTAAGGCCAGGACCTTAAGATCAGCCAGGGTAACGTGGCAAGACCTCATCTCTACAAAAGAAAAAAAATTTAAATTTGCCAAGTGTGGTGGCGTGTGCTTGCAGTCCTTGCTACTCAGGGTGCTGAGGCTAGAGGATTGCTGGAGCCCAGGAGTTCAAGGCAGCAAAGAGCGATGATTGCACCACTCTACTCCAGCCTGGGAGACACGGCAAGACTGCCTCAAAATTTAAAAAAAAAAAAGTTTTAAATGGAAAAAAAATAAAATAAACATTTTTTTTTCCTGATGTCTGGGGAGAAATTATTTCATGGTTTAGGATTTTATTATTTACAACGTTCTAAAATAGTATCAGTGTCCTCACACCCATTAGGATGGCTACTTTCAAAAACCAGAAAATAAGTGTTGGTGACAATGTGGCGAAAGTGGAACCCTGGTGCACTTCTGGTGAAAATGTAAAATGGTGCAGCTGCTGTGGAAAACAGTATGATGGTTCCTCAGAAAAATTAAAAATAGAAGTTTAAGACTGGAAGCGGTGGCTCACGCCTGTAATCCCAGCACTTTGGGAGGCTGATGCGGGCGGATTCACAAGGTCAGGAGATCGAGACCATCCTGGCTAACATGGTGAAACACCATGTCTACTAAAAATACAAAAAATTAGCCGGGCATGGTGGTGGCAGGCGCCTGTAGTCCCAGCTACTTGGGAGGCTGAGGCAGGAGAATGGCGTGAACCCAGGAGGCAGAGCTTGCACTGAGCCGTGATCGGGCCATTGCACTCTAGCCTGGGCAACAGAGCGAGACTCCGTCTCACAAAAAAAAAAAAAAAAAAAAATAGAAGTTTAACTCTATGATTCAGCAATTCCACTTCAAGGTATATACCCAGAAGAATTGAAAGCAGAGTCTCCAAGATATATTTGTATACCCATGTTCATAGTAGCATTATCTGAAATAGCTAACATGGAAATAATCGAAGTGTCCATCTAGAGATGAATGAACAAGCAAAATGTGGTAGATACACACAATGAACTATTATGATTCAGGCTTAAAAAGGAAGGAGATTTCGTAGTATGCTACAACATGGATGAAACTTTAGGACATTATGCTAAATGAAATAAGTCAATCACAAAACAACAAATACTGTATGACTCTACTTATTTAAGATAATGATAATAGTCAAAATCATAGAGACAGAAAGTAGAATGGTGGTTGCCAGGGACTAGAGGGAGGGGTAAATGAGGAATAATTGTTTAAGTGGTATAGAGTTTCAGTTTTACAAGGAGAAAACAATAAGATATATGGTGGTGATGGTTGAACACTATAAATGTATTCAGTGCAACTGAACTGTACACTTAGCAATGGTTCATTTCATCCATTTTATTTTATGTTCTGTTTTTTGTTTTTTAGAGACAGTGTCTTATTCTGTCACCCATGCTGGAGTGTAGTGATATGACTGTAGCTCACTGGAGCCTTGACCTCCTGGGCTCAAATGATCCTCCCATCTCAGCCTCCCAAGCAGCACCAAGGGCTGGGTGTGGTGGCTCATCCCTGTAATCCCAGCACTTTGGAAGGCCAAGGTGGGCAGATCACTTGA